GACTGCAACCCTAGTCTCAAGCAGCAGCAGGTGAAGAGTTAAGAAAAGTGAAATGTTTAGTTGTAATGTAACTGAGGAGAGCTAGCTGCTCCAGAGTGACAAGAGCTGAATAACTGTGGATAAAGGGAGAACGTCGGACGTATTGATTAACTATGATCTTCTCGCTCCCAGGAAAGAAACTTAAAATAATGAGACTAATGGAGTCTCTGAAAAGGTTTAGATGAGTAATTTAATTAAGTAACAAAGTTATAGAACAAGCATAAGGTAAGGAAGAGACAAAAGCCGGTGTTGTCCCTCGCTGCAGCGAAGAAGAGAGACCGTGATGCCCCCGCCTTCTGCTTTTATACTCCTCCAGTTCTCTCCCGCTGTGTACATAGGGTGACCTCCCTCCTCGTCTTCAATGTTCGACATCGTGTGAAACAGAGGATTTCGACATTTTGTATTCCTTGCTTACTTCCATAAGCCTTTTCTCCTCCTTATCTCTTTCATGACTTTTTATTTAATGCTTTATAACAGCTGTAATAGTTAGTTTAGTAATCCTAGAAATACTTTAGACACAGTTCTCATTTACGGTAACTCCTTCTGACGTCATGGCTCCCCACGTATGTGAAGAAAACTTCACAATCAACTGTACCTTCATTTAATATTCAGCAGTAATAATATCTTGACGTCTATAGATGTAATGTTAAAGTCAGTAGGTTTTGGTGTGCAACACTGCGTGTCATTTTTACTTCACATTCAGAAAACGTAGCCACATGCTAAATGCTAACCGGAGATGAAGGATTTTCAGAATAAAAGCTTGTGGTTGAGCTTTAAATCTGATGGTATGTTTAAACTAAATTATGCCATAAAACATTGATTTTAATTTCTAACAGACGCCATTTCTCCCGAATTAGCGACTGTCCGGTGAGTCAGCATTTAGTTAGCACTTAGTTAGCTTCTTAGCTTAAAGGTTTTGCTACTTGACCAAAATAAATGTGTTAATTAAAATGTTGAATTGTGTTTGAATGTGTTAAAGGTCCCATGTCATGCTTTTCCGGTTATTACCCGTCCCCTTGTGTTCTGAAGCTTCTGCATGTAAACGGTCAGCAAAGTCACAAACCCTCAAAGTACACCCTGTAACGAGTAAAACTCTAACACAGAAAATACCTGTCTATGCTGCCCCAGAACGCCTCGTTGGAGATTTCTCTTTTTCCATTGTTTTCTTCCTGGGTACAGTGACGTGCCCATACCCAAATGGACCCATTGGTCCAAATGGACCAATCCGTGGAGCCCTTACATTATGTCCGCAGAGCCGTTCCTCACACACACACACACTCAATCTTTTCTCAGCTGCAGCTCCGCCGATTTCTCCTCCCTGAGACGGCGGGACGCGGCGAGGCTGTGAGTCGGTGTGTGAGCACACACACAAACTCCCAGCCAGGCTGCGGGTGTGTGTGTGTGTGTGTGTGTGTGTTCGGGCTGGGTTTCGCTGTGTCTCGCTGTCTCGCTGACGGCCACTGGGCTCATAGGGAGGGGGGGACAGGAGCTCCAACAAGCCGTTTAGGACAGAGAGTGAATACACATACTATACAGAGATGCTGTATGAGAAACCAATGTGAGTTTGGAACATTGCTCAATATAAATCTATTCTAGTAGACCTCAACTATGGAATTATGATCAGTAGAAATGGCCATGTCATGGGACCTTTAATCAAACGTTGACATGTTAAAAACAAGTCAGGATATGAATGTGACATGATTGTTGTTCATAAAATGAAGCTTGTTAGCGGCTAAACGGTGTAAGCTAATTGCAGCTAAGCTAAAGGTCTCGCGCTTTGTTGCCGCTGTAAACCCGCGAAAGCATTGTGAGCTAATTTATGCAGACCTGGACATGGAGATAAGCTAATGTTCATTTATTCTAACTGTATGAGTAATGAAGAGGGAAATAGACCAGTTAACAATCGTTGTTTGACTCACTTTAAGATGTTTCTAGTGTTGTTGCAGATTTTATTGTGTAAAAGTTAAGATTTATAATACAGGCTAACTGTGTTTTATTTCTAAGGACGATTTATTTCCGACATCCTGGAGCGGAGTCCATCTGCCATCCATTGCTCCATGGCTAAAAGTTAAGATTTATATAATACAGAGTTTAACTGTTCGGCACACTAGTTTGCAGGCTTTTTTTTTTTTTAGGGACAATTTCTATTTTTGTTTTATTTTCAGATCTCAGGTATTTATTTTCTTTGGGCCAAAGATTGACACTGATAGACATTTTCTGATTAGTCAACCACCATTACAGCTGAAGATCAGTGTTTATGTATTACAATGGCGTTTGTTAGCAACCAGAAAATGACCCCAGTGATGACAAACAGATGAGAATGCTGCGTGGGGTCTGGCTGCCGTGTTGGCGGGACGTTGCGGGGCTTGCTGCTCCGCCCTTTGAGACTCGAGGAGCGGACAGTGTGAGCTGGATTACTGGGGTCTGCGAGACAGCGAGACACCGCGGAGCTTAGCCTGAGTACACACACACACACACACACACACCTGGCTGTGAGTGTGAGTGTGTGTGTGTCCGGAGATCCGCGGATTGGTCCATTTGGTCGGCAGTACGTCACTATGACCCGGAAGAAAAAATGGGAAAAGAAAAATGTCCAACGAGGCGTTCTGGGGCAGCATAGACAGGTCTTTTCTGTGTTAGAGTTTTACTCGCTACAGGGTGTACTTTGAGGGTTTGTGACTTTGCAAATCGTTTGCATGCAGAAAAAGCTACATCACACAAGGGGACGGGTAATAACCGGAAAAGCATGACATGGGACCTTTAAACAGATCTGTGATTAATTCTGAAAGCATTTTCTTCCATTATCAGAATAATTTTAATACATTTTATTTCATTTTTATTTTATGCATTCTGTGAGTAATTGTATTTTCTCTGATCTATATGTTTTGATTAAATAATACGGCAACAGTTCTAAATTGGTTTGAGTCCTACTTAAAGGACAGACAAAACGTTGTTTCTATAGGTAAATACAAATCTGAGTTGACAAATATGACATGTGGGGTACCTCAAGGCTCCATCTTGGGGCCTCTTCTCTCTGGCTCAGATAATGAAAAACAACAAAATAAGTTACCATAGCTATGCGGATGACACACACATTTACATAACAATTTCACCAGGAGACTATTCTCCAATTCAAACACTGAGTAAGTGCATTGAACAAATCAATGACTGGATGTGTCAGAACTTTCTCCAATTAAACAAAACTGAGGTAATGGTTTTTGGAGCCAAGGCAGAACGTATAAAAGTTAGCGCTGAGCTTCAGTCTGCAATGTTCAAAACAACAGATAAAGCCAGAAATCTAAGTGTAGTCATGGACTCTGACCTGAGTTTCAACAGTCACATTAAAACAGTTACTAAATCAGCCTACTATCACCTAAAGAACATATCTAGGATTAAAGGACTAATGTCACAGCAGGATCTGGAAAAACGTGTCCATGCTTTTATCTTCAGTAGACTCGACTACTGTAATGGTGTCTTTACAGGTCTCACTAAAACATCGATTAGAAAGCTGCAGCTAATTCAGAACGCCGCTGCTCGAGTCCTCACTAACACTAAGAAAGTGGATCACATCACTCCTGTTCTGAAGTCCTTACACTGGCTTCCTGTGTGTCAAAGAATAGATTTCAAAATACTGCTGCTGGTTTATAAAGCTTTGAATGGTTTAGGCCCAAAATACATGTCTGACCTACTGCTAAATTATGAACCATCCAGAACCCTCAGGTCTTCAGGGACTGGTCAGCTTTCTGTCCCCAGAGTCAGAACTAAACATGGAGAAGCAGCATTCAGTTATTATGCTCCATCTGGAACAAACTCCCAGAAACCTGCAGGTCCGCTGCAACTCTTACTACTTTTAAATCCAGGCTGAAGACTTTTCTTTTTGCCGCTGCGTTTAATTGAAACTGAGCGGTTGTGTTTTGTTTTTTGGTAAATTAACATTTGGTAGTAACCCCAGGGAATGAGTGTCTGGGGACTTTGTCCTGGCTGGTTTTCTCTGTGTATGCTGCTCGGGACGTATGTGCCATACAAGCGTACACAGCTCATGTTCGGAGAAACCTTAAAGAAAGGCATCAATAAAGTGGAACTTCTGTGTGAATTATTCATATCTTAAACTGCACTGTAACTTTTTATTCATGTACTTTTTATTCATGTATTTTTCTTTTAATGTTTATTTTATTATCTTTTCTTTTTAATGACTGTTTTTAAATGCCCTTGTCTGAATGTCTTTCATTTATGTAAAGCACCTTGAATTGCCTTCTGTTGAAAGGTGCTATATAAATAAACTTGCCTTGCCTTAAACATGAACCTGTTCAGCTGGTTATGAAACAAAGGGAGGATCTGCAGACAGGTGAGGGCGTTAAAGTGAACATTTGAAGTCAAACTGCCAGACGCCCTTTTACACTTCAGAGCAGGAGGACAACAGGGTGAGTGTTAACACCAGGCTCTGCTTTTTAACACATTATTGACTCTGTTATACTGGATGTGAGAACATAATGTGTTCAGAAATATATATATTTCCTAGAGTTCAATGAGACCTCTTCAAATGTTTTTTTATTTCCTGGTTTTTGAGCCTTCAGAGTTGCATAACATGTGACAGGAGAGCGGCCTGTCTGAAGTCTGACTCATTAAACCAAGTTTATAATTTGATGATTGAAACAAGTGTGTGTGTGTGTGTGTGTGTGTGTGTGTGTGTGTGGGTGTGGTGTGTGTGTGTGGTGTGTGTTTGTGTGTGTGTGTGTGTGGTGTGTGTGTGTGTGTGTGTGTGTTGTGTGTGTGATGTGTGTGTGTGTGTGTGTGTGTGTGTGTGTGGTGTGTGGTGTGTGTGTGTGTGTGTGTGTGTGTGTGTGTTGTGTGTGTGTGTGTGTGTGTGTGTGGTGTGTGTGTGTGTGTGTGTGGTGTGTGTTGTGTGTGGTGTGTGTGTGTGTGTGTGTGTGTGTGTGTTACTGGTTTATCTCTCAGACTGGAGAAGATGAGTGATTTAAAAGAAGAGAAAGAGGACACATCTCCAGTCTCCAGCTGTCTGTCTCTGAAGGGTGAGCGGTCTAAAGAGGAACCTCCAGACTTCAGAGATGAACCTGGACCCTCAGACACAAAGTAAGAGTTTCTACTGTAACCTGACCTGAAGAGGATTCAGTTTTTATGTTCACTTATAATCTAACCTTTTCTGTAATGATCTCAGTGAAGAAACTCGGTAGAGTACAGTAACCAAGTTGAATTGAACTCTTGCTCCTTGGCATCATCAGCGATATTAAATAATCTACTTGTGAAATCATCCTCACTCTTTACATGTTGGACTTGGTGTTACATTTAATACCAACATGTAAACATTCACTCTCAAATGAATTGTAACAGCAGAAACCCACAGCACGATTTAAAAACTCTGAACATCTTTACTCATGTTCAAAGAGAAGTCTAAAGCTGCTCTTTGAATGATGTTTAAAATGTGTGTTGTTTCCACAGACAGAGAGCAGAGTCTCCAGTCTCCAGCTGTCTGTCTCTGAAGAGTCAGCGGTCAAAAGAGGAACCTCCAGTCTTCAGTAATGAACCTGGACCCTCAGACACAAAGTAAGAGTTTCTACTGTAACCTGACCTGAAGAGGATTCAGATTGTATATAACCTGATAATTTAAACTGTTCTTTATTATCATGTGTAGGGCTGCCCACGACTAAAGATTATTGTAGTTGACCAATAGTTGTCATTTTCTTTGCAGATACCTGTTTAAACCAGAGACTGTCTGTGGAACTAACAGTCACTGCTGTACTTATGACTTCATGAAGTTATTCTGAGTGTTGATGGAGCAGCTACAATGTTAGCCTAGCTTTAATCAAACAGATATCCATTCAGAAAACAAACATTTTAAATGGTTTTGCTTGTTGTGTTGGAGACAGACCTGACAAAGCATTAACTCAGGCTTTTTACAAATCACTATCATGTTGTTATTTCAGCATCATTTCCATATGTGTATTGTAATTAATTCACAGCAAGTTCTATGTGAATTGTGTTTATAATGCTATAGTGCACCAGGTTAATACAGCTGTGTGTGTCTTAGTAGAGACAGGGAACATGTGCTCCTCTGGGTGATGAATCCAGACAGGATGAGGTTTGCTTTTATAATAATGTGAAGTGTAAACTATCTACCTGATCACTAAGATATATTATATACAGATAAAGACCTGTTTAAATGTTAATCGAGAATTTGCCACCTTGTTGTACCTTTGGTGAGAATCAGCTCCACTAAAGTAAAGTGCTATAAAGGATGTGTTCATCTCCACAGAGGGAAGAGGAAGAGGAAGAGGAAGAGTGGTGTTCCTGTGGAGGAGCAGCTGTCCAGCTGTGCTCTGTGTCAGGACGTCCTGAAGGATCCAGTCTCTACCAGCTGTGGACACTGGTTCTGCAGACAGTGCATCACCTCATACTGGGAGCAGAGACCTCCATCAGGAGACCCCTCCTGTCCCCAGTGTGGAGAAAGATCCAGAACCAGAGCTGGCCTGCAGACAGCCAGTCAGACCAGCTCTGTACGAGGTAAGAGGCCGAACTCATGCAGCCTCTTTAGATCCGTCAGGGCGCTGGGTCTCTACTCTTGTAGAGCTTATCTCCATGTTTGACTCGACATGCACACTAATACTGGATTCTGTTGCTCCTTTTACGCTTAGACGCACCAAAGTTCTCTCAGAGCCGTGGCTCAATGACTGTACTCGTGCTCTCAGACGCGCTTGCAGGCGTGCAGAGAGAAAATGGAAAAAGGATAAACTCCATGTCTCCCTAGAAATCCTTCGTGCTTGCCTTTCCGATACCAGACGGCAGTCAAAGCAGCCAAAACAGAGCACATTTCTCTGTTCATCTCCAAAAACAGCCATAAACCTCAGGTTCTTTTTAATGTCCTCAACTCTATCATTAATCCCTGTGATGTTTCTTCTATTGTGCCATCGACTACTCTCTGTGATAAGTTTCTTACATTTTTTATTGAAAAGGTATCTGCTCTTAGGCTAGCCCACACTAGTGCTACCCCAGATCCTGCTCCTTTTCTGTGCCCTGCTGTCCTCGACCACTTTGAGCCTGTATCCCTCTCTTCTCTCTCGGATGTAGTCAAGCACCTGCGGCCGACAAACTGCACCTCAGACAGCATTCCCTCTCGCCTTCTCAGAGATGTTTTGGAATCAGTTGGTGCAAGTATTTTATTACTTTTAAACACCTCTCTTAGCTCAGGATGTGTCCCAGCTGCCAGAAACATGCCGTGGTTAAGCCACTACTTAAAAAGAAAATTTTCGACCCCTCCATTCTCGCAAATTTTAGGCCCATCTCCCAGCTACCTTTTTTATCAAAAGCCCTGGAGCGAGTAGTCTACGCCCAGCTGCAGTCTTTTTTAACCACGCATGGAATCCATGAAAAGTTTCAGTCTGGCTTCAAACCCATGCACAGTACTGAAACAGCCCTTTGAAGAGTTTTTAATGATCTGCTCCTAGCTGCCGACTCAGGTAGCCCAGCTGTCTTGGTGCTGTTAGACCTGACAGCTGCCTTTGACACTGTGGACCATAGCATCCTGCTGTCACGGCTTGAACAGTCCGCTGGCATCACAGGCTCTGCCCTTGCATGGTTCAGGTCCTACCTGACAGACCGTAGCTTCTCAGTACAGCTAGGTGCCTTCTCCTCTGCCAAAGCCCCTCTTACCTGTGGGGTTCCCCAAGGCTCGATTCTGGGCCCCATCCTTTTTCTACTGTACATACTGCCCCTAGGTTCAATTCTCACTAAACACAATATTCCCTTCCACTGCTACGCCGACGATGTACAGATATATCTGCCTCTCAAAGCAAATGTCACACACTCACTACAGCAGTTGATGGACTGCTTAACAGAGATAAAATCCTGGCTGAGCAAAAACTTCCTCAACCTCAACGAGAGCAAGACCGAGGTCATCTTTTTTGGACCGCAACCTCCAGCCTCTCCGGTTGATATTCTGGGCTCTCTCAATAAAAACATCCTCCCCTCGGTCATGAACCTTGGAGTGACCTTCAATAGCACTTTTAAATTCGACAAGCAGGTCAGCACCGTAGTCAAATCCTGCTTTTTTAAAATAAGACTATTGGCCAAAACCAAGTCGTATTTATCTTTTAATGACTTAGAAAGGGTTATTAACGCCTTTGTAACCTCGAGACTGGACTATTGCAACGCTCTGTATGTGGGTATGGACCAGACCTCAATTAAACGCCTGCAGCTAGTCCAAAACGCAGCTGCACGTTTGCTGACTGGCCACAAAAAGCGTGACCACATCACCCCAATTCTGGCCTCACTACACTGGCTTCCAGTTCAGAGTGTCATCTGATCTTCCTCCAGGCATTGTTTTCTGAAGTGTGTTTTAAAACAGACAGCAGTGTTTTCCTAAGTAGAAACACTGGACAGATCTAAAGGGGAACGTTAGCAAAGAACTTTTACAGAAGACAGTAAAGCAGGATTCTTCCTGGTTTATTTGTTTTAGAGGTAAACTGTTGTAGAGCATAGACAGTAAGCTGTTTTATAAAAATGTTAAACTCTGTCTGTTTTTATTGTCAGATTCTCAAAAGCATTTTCTGATTCTCTCATGTTTCCTTCTCTTCCAGCAGATAGTGGTCTGCAGGAGGTTTTAGATGAACATAGGCTCAGTCTGAGGAGGAGATGTGAACGTGTGACTGAAGGAACTGATGAAAGTGAAACCCTCCTCAACAGGATCTTCACTGAGCTCTACATCACACAAGGCCAGAGTGAAGAGGTTAATACCCAACATGAGGTGAGGCAGCTGGAGACAGCTTCCAAGAAAGAGACCCTCCATGACACTCCAATCAAGTGCCAGGACATCTTTAAAGCCTTACCTGACCAACAGAGTCACATCAGAGCGGTCCTGACCAACGGAGTCGCTGGAGTTGGAAAAACCTTCTCAGTGCAGAAGTTCACTCTGGACTGGGCCGAGGGTTTGGGAAACCAAGATGTCAGTCTGGTGATCCCGCTCTCCTTCAGGGAGCTGAACCTGATCAAAGGTGAGCAGTACAGTCTTCTCAGGCTGCTCCATGTTTTCCATCCAACCTTACAGAAGGTCACAGCAGAGCAGCTGGCTGTCTGTAAAGTGCTGCTCATCTTTGACGGCCTGGATGAAAGCAGACTTTCTCTGGACTTCAGAAACAATGAGGTTGTGTCTGATGTCTCACAGCAGTCCTCAGTCAACGTGCTGCTGACAAACCTCATCAGGGGGAAGCTGCTTCCCTCGGCTCTCGTCTGGATAACTTCCAGACCTGCAGCGGCCAATCAGATCCCTCCTGAGTGTGTGGACAGGGTAACAGAAGTACGAGGCTTCACTGACGCCCAGAAGGAGGAGTACTTCAGGAGGAGATGGAGTGATGAAGACCTGTCCAGCAGAATCATCTCTCACATCAAGAGCTCCAGGAGCCTCCACATCATGTGTCTGATCCCAGTCTTCTGCTGGATCACTGCTGCAGTTCTGGACCACATGTTGACTACAGGCCAGAGAGGAGAGCTGCCCCAGACCCTCACTGACATGTACTCACACTTCCTGCTGGTCCAGACCAAGAGGAAGAAGCAGAAGTATGAAGAGGGACATGAGACGAGTCCACAGCAGCTGACGGAGGCTGACAGGGAGGTTCTTCTGAAGCTGGGGAGGCTGGCGTTTGAACATCTGGAGAAAGGAGACATCATGTTCTACCAAGAAGACCTGCAGCGCTGTGGTCTTAGTGTCACCGAGGCCTTGGTGCACTCAGGAGTTTGTACAGAGATCTTCAAAAGAGAGAGAGTGATCTTCAAGAAAACAGTCTACTGCTTTGTTCATCTGAGCATTCAAGAGTTTCTGGCTGCAGTCTACATGTTGCACTGTTACACCAACAGGAAGACAAAGGTACTGAAGGACTTCCTGCAGGGAGACTATAGCAACAGGTATAACAGAGATCAGGATTACCCATCCCTGGATGTCTTCCTAAAGGGAGCCATGGAGAAATCCCTCAGAAGTAGAAATGGCCACCTGGACTTGTTTGTCCGCTTTCTCCACGGCCTCTCTCTGGAGTCCAACCAGAAACTGTTAGGGGGCCTGCTGGGTCGCACACACAAGCGTCCAAAAATCATCAAGAGACTCTTAGGAGGCCTGCTGGGTCGCAGAGACAACCGTCCAGAAATCCGTCCAGAAATCATCGAGAGAGCCATCAACAACCTGAAGGAGATGAGCAGTTCTTCCTCTCCTGACAGGAGCATCAACATCTTCCACTGTCTGACAGAGATGAAGGACCACTCAGTGCATCAGGAGATCACAGAGTTCCTGAAGTCAGAGAACAAATCAAAGGAACTCTCTGAGATCCACTGCTCAGCTCTGGCCGGCATGCTACAGATGTCAGAGGAGGTTATGGATGAGTTGGACCTGAATAAGTTCAAAACATCAGATGAGGGACGACAGAGACTGATTCCAGCTGTGAGGAACTGCAGGAAGGCCAAGTAAGTCCAGATGTGATTAACTTTATAAACTAATGTGGATCAGGAGTTTAATTATTCAAATAAACACGATAACATTTCTGCTGTTTAAATATTGAGAACAAAATAAACCAAAACTGCTCTTCTATTTATTTTAGTGTTTCCCACAGATCTGATATATACGCGTGGTGGTAGCCGGGCACGAACAGGGGTTGGGTGGTTTTGTGACGTGCAACAACATTAACATTAACCTTTCTGTTGGTCGCTTGTTAGCAAACCCTTCACGTGATAGCAAAGCACACAGATACAGGAGGCTAGAGCGAGGGATCATTGTCCACTAGTTAATCTAACTAAATGGGTCGCGAAAAGTATATGCGTGGGAAACCCTGTATTTATAATAATGGTTATATTGAACCTGTGACATGAAGGACTTTAGAGGTTTCTCAGCATGTGATCACACCATGCAGCAGAATTTCCAATTATCAGAGAAAGCGGTTATTATTACATTCTTGTAGTTTCTTTATCATTAAACAGACACGCATGTTTTTATCACAATGTGTTAGAGTTTAAAATAAGATCTATATCATTTCCCAACAGTAAAAGAGTTATGTCTTAATGCTTATATACTGGGAACATCTGATGGTATTCAGTTGAAAATTATGAAACTTTATTGGTTTGTTAATTGTGTTTGTGTGTGCAGTACATTTTCAGATGCTCAGAGAACCCAAAACCTCCTTCATCCATCACATCCAAATATTAATTAACATTTAAATATGTACATCTCTAATATTGTCAAGTGATTTATTTAATTTATGTTTCTTTGGTAACAGTCACCGACAGCAGGAGCACAGACATGTGATCAGATCAAATGCTAATATAATACATTATTACATATAATATTACCAACCCGGTATCACGGCAAGACGTGAACATGTGATGATTTACCATGCTTGTCAGGGTTGAGTGAAGCAGGCAGGACCCAAATGCAGATTAAACAGAAAATACCTTTATTTCAAGGCTATAAGAACATACAGAGCAGAACTCTCTCCCCCGTGAACACAGTCAACAACAAACAATAATCTCACAACGACAGACAGAAAAAACAGAACTTAAATGCACACAAGACTAATCACACAAACAAGACACAGGTGTAACGAGTAATGATTATACTTTATAGGGATCCTATTAATATCTAATAATAAAAATTATAAAATGCAATAACGTGCTTTAACCAGTAGGTGTCCCTTTCTTTCAGCTGTGCACCGTAATGGCGTAAATACAGCCTATCTACCAATTGGATCAAATATAAAAGCCAGCCGAATTAGTATTGATACTGCAAGGAGACGTATTGTGTGAAAAGAAATGTAAGATGTTGTTTAATTGCTGATATATTTAAGATCCACGTCAAGTTTTCAGTTTTGGCGGCAGTTCCTGTTTGTCTAGAAGTCTTCTCATCAGGGCTCTATAAAGAGCGAACTACGGCAGATATGTAATATTTAATGCAGCTGAACCGTGTATTACAATGCCGTTATGTGATGACTTTCAAAGAGAAAAGCAAGCACAGTATTATTTTATTTTTAAAAAATGTTTTCGGATTTCACATCGCATAAACACCATATCCCAACGTGCATTGCGGCTAAACCATCCAATCACCGAGCTGAGGATCTTGCCTACGTCTGTTTCTGGTATTGTTTATGACGGATGTATTTAGTTATACACACATTCCTTCACATTTACATTTTTATTTACATTAAAGTATTTCGTGAGGCCTTCTAATTTTTTTTCTAATATAACTACGGTTCTAGTTGAAGAGTTTGTAAATTAACAATAACCCAAACTGTTGCCTGGCAACGCAATCGCACAACGTCACGTCCGTTAATTCCACATCCACACACATGGATTAACATGGATTTAATACATTAATGTAGCCTTTGTTTCTGCTAAAAGAGGTGTCGACCAGCTGGGGCAACAAGAAAATCGGCGAAATGGAGTGTGACTATTACAAAATAAATCATTATTATATTAATATTGACAATAACAACCGACCGTCGGGGTAGAGCATTTGCTTGGCATTTCCGGGTATTTCTCCACTGGTTGGGCCATGTTAACAATACTGTGTAACTGTCACGTTTGAAGGGACGAAATCGTGACATCTTCACGTCTCCCAGCATGGTAAATCGTCACATGTTCACGTCTTGCCGTGATACCGGGTTGACTATTACATGGAACAACAAAAAATGTCTATCAGAACCAGAGATGGGGTCGTTACTAAAAAAAAGTAATATATTACATATTACATATTACTTTAAAAAAAAGTAATATATTACACTACTTCGTTACATTCTACATAAAGTAACTCGTTACTTTACTCGTTACTTTACTCGTTACTTTACTCGCAGGGCCGGCCCGCCCCTCCCTACAGGCAGATCACGCAGACTGCTAAAGTTTCAAATGTTCTCTTTAGTTCAGTTTCCATTGTCGCATAAGACTGATCCAGATAGCTCTGACTATGGCTGTCCTCTGTCTCCTGCTATCTGTATTTTGCGCAGTATATCTCTGAACGATGCAATGGTGATTCCACTGTGCAAATGGGCAACATTACCTCTACTATGAAGGATGCTACAAGCCTGTCCATCTCTGCTTTGGTTACCGGTCCTCCAAATTCTCATTTGTGCTGCTTCAGAGTCGGCGGCGGCCCACTCACAACATCCTCACTCTGGGTTCGGGGGTCCTTAGCTATTAGCTTCACTTTAGCTTCTTTGCAGGTGTTTGTTGAGGTTTGACGTGGTGTTTGCAGCAGTGGATAACAGCTTCTGGCCTGGACACAGTTTGCACCTCACCGTCACATTCCTGTCTATTCTTCGGACGAACTCAAAATAATGGGCATACCTCCACGCCTCGAAAGTTATCGCTGACTCAGCCATGTTTATGCAGCACTGCTCGCGGAGATGTGAACTCGCGAGTCGCGCAGATTACGTACATATAAACCTGCGGTGGAAACCCCTCTTGTCTGTCAGTGTGATTATGACTGATTTTATAAAAGTAACGAAGTAACGCGTGTCGGGGCAATGTTAGTAACTGTAGTGTGATTACTGAATTATAAAAGTAATGCGTTACACTACTCCGTTACCGACAAAAGTAATATTATTACAACTCTGATCAGAACATATGTCAAATCTTTCTTCATCAAATGCTTGAGGTTAATATGTTTCCTCTTTTTTTAACACATGTTGTAATATATGTGTTATTATAGACTTTCTTACTGTGGACTCTCAGAGACTGACTGTGAAGTCGTGGCCTCAGCTCTGAAGTCTGACCCCTCCCATCTTCGAGATCTGGACCTGAGTTACAACTACAAGCTGCAGGATTCAGGAGTGAAACTGCTGAGTTCTGGACTAAAGAGTCCAAACTGCAGACTGGAGACTCTCGGGTCAGTTCTCCATCTTTTACTTCTGTGCTGAAATTAATATATGAGAGTTGTGTTGACATTTTAAATATATTATTTATCACTTTTGCTAATGACTGAATATTCATCAGAATAACAAAGAGAAGATAAATGTGTGAGGGAGAGTGTTTGAGCTTCCACAGACTCACACTGTGCTCCACGAGTCAGTGAGTATGCTGTCAGTATTGATGAGCTGTGAGGGAGATGAAGGAGTTGTTAAAGATCTGATCAAAGTTAGAGTTCCAGATTATCAATTAATTGTTTCTTCAACATCGCTGACATTAAAACCCTGTTTAACTCTGAACAGATTATTAAACCTGGAGTTATTTCAAAAGTTACATCATGTTTTCTTTATTCAGACTGGAGTACTGCAGTTTGTCAGAGATCAGCTGTTCTGCTCTGATCTCAGCTCTGAAGTCCAACCCCTCCCATCTGAGAGATCTGGACCTCAGTAACAACGATCTGCAGGATTCAGGAGTGGAGCTGCTGAGAGATCTTCTGGAGAGTCCAGACTGCAGACTGAAGACTCTCAGGTCAGTTCACTGACTCTCTGTTACTGCTGGAGATCTCATGTTTCATTAGTTATTCAACCTGATTCTTCATCATACATATATTACATCCATACGTTTGTAAATGTTGTCATAACAGTTGATTGATTCCTAAAGAAACTGTTATTCTTCCCCTGTTAGTTGTTAACCTGTTACGCACCGCCCCCCCCCCCCCCCCCCCCCCCCCCCCCCCCCCCCCCCCGGTACCGGGCGGATAAACGCGTCATTTGCAAGAAACAACGTCTAAGGAATCTTAATATTTAATAAACTATGAATGTTTTATATCCATGTAACGGGAAGAAACTCAGCTAACTGATCTTTTTAAAAAAGAAATCCAAAAATAACCCACAATGCTAACACTCAGCCTCTGAATTACCCACGAGCCAAAAAATGTAACCTAAAACTGCACCTAAACTCACTCATAACTCCTTTATTACTTATCCTAGATGCACAGCCAACCCCTCGATTAGCATCTCCTGGAGACACAGAATCTGGGGGTGCCCACCTCAACACTCAGTGATAAACATTTGCGACGCTATAAACGAAAGCGTACATCAGAACATGTGGAGCTAGGTAGCTAGAAACGCTAACATGGCTTACCTTGGTCAAAACTGGTCTTCAATGGCATTAAAACGATAAAAACGCTGCTGAAGTTAATCCATAGGTTAATCCAATGTGTCTGTGTCCTTTTTGAAATGATTTCTGATAATCCATAAGCATTAAAATTGCTTTTCCGTTTCCAAATGCCAGAGCTAGAGATAGGTCCACTCTGACGCAAAATTACATGCGCGAAGCCCCCACCTCTTCTCTTCACAACGTGTGTGTGTGGGGGACGCCCCCTTCGATTCTATTGGCTCTAACGGTCAGAAAGAGGTGTCAACCATCCAAATCGACCAAGGGGGGCCAGAGATATGGAAAAAAAAAACATTTTCACCCAAATCACCTCAGAGGTGGGGTGGTTTTAGCTAAACCTCTCTAAAAATGTCAAATGTCACTTGTTTTGCATCAATCTTGATACAGGGTACTTATTATATGTTGTACTTTGGATTCCTAAAGCTTTTAGTCTACTAACCCATCATCCAAGGGTAGTTTTCACTATAAGTAAAAAATAATTTTTGGACGGACACTATAATTTACAGTTTTTTACTATGTAAAATCTGAATTTTCTTTAAAATAAAAAACATCTATATTGATTCTGACACTTCTACATCCAACTCACAGATGTAACCTTGCTTTGATAAAAGAAATCATTCATATAACCCTTTTAGAAGTTAAGTTGTAGTCATTTGTTTTGGGCATGTCATTTTCGAGCCTGAAACATGAAAAACAGGCTTGGTGCTTAACAGGTTAAAGGGGGGCGTGTAGCGCAGTGGATAGAGCAGTGGATAGAGCAGTGGATAGAGCAGTGGATAGAGCAGTGGATAGAGCAGTGGATAGAGCAGTGGATAGAGCAGTGGATAGAGCAGTGGATAGAGCAGTGGATAGAGCCTTGGTGTTGGGATCAGGGGGTCACAGGTTCAAACCCCACTGCAGTCAGCATGTCATTGTGTCCCTGAGACACTTCACCCCAAATTGCTCCTGTGGGGATTGTCCACAGTATTGAGTATGTAAGTCGCTTTGGATAAAAGCGTCTAACAAGTGACATGTAATGTTAAAGTACATTTATGTTTTCTTTAGTAAATGGTCGGAATAAAGAAGGTCCTCTGAACTAATATTAGTTTTACATAAAGTTTACTTTCTGACATAGAAATGTTTATGTTCCGGTCATTTAGACGTGTTTTCACAGATAATAAACAGAAGGCTGATATAATGATGATCCACAATAACAGAATGACAGTCACTGTAATTCAGGGGAAAGCTCAGTGATTAGGAGACAGTAATGATAAAGGGATGGGTACCGAGCCCCCATATTAAAGAGGCCCCAGGGCGGGATTATTAAAGATCGTGGTACCGTTAAGCTCCGACGTTATCTGTCTTTTTATCGGTACTGGAGACATTTAAAAAATATATGTCATATGTATAATTGCTACATAAACATTATATTGCAATGTCGCCAACTCCGTTTCTAATATGCAAAAAGACTACAAAATGCGTCTATGATGCATTTTGTAGCACTCACATCTCATGTGATGAAGGTGCTTGAGAGACTGGTCTTGGCCCATCTCAGACCGCAGGTGAGATCATTCCTTGACCCTCTGCAATTTGCCTACCAGCCTCACCTGGGGGTGGACGATGCCATTATTTACCTGCTGCAGCGTGCTCACTCATACCTGAATGGATCGGGTTGCACTGTGAGAATCACCTTTTTTGATTTCTCCAGTGCATTCAACACGATCCAGCCTCGGCTACTGAGTGACAAGCTGCAGGCTATGAGGGTAAACTCGTCCACCATCTCCTGGATTACCAACTACCTCACGGACAGACCACAGTACGTCCGGCTGGGCAGTGTGCTGTCTGATGTGGTGGTTGGTAGTATTGGAGCCCCACAGGGGACTGTGCTGTCTCCTTTCCTGTTCACCTTATACACCTCTGACTTTCTATACAACTCAGAGTCATGCCACCTGCAGAAGTTTTCGGATGACTCTGCAGTGGTAGGGTGTATAAGGGATGGACGGGAGGAGGAGTACAGAGCGCTGGTGGGTGATTTTGTTGAGTGGACTGGAAGAAATCATCTGCTTTTGAATGTGGCCAAGACCAGAGAGATGGTCATTGATTTCAGGAGGAAGAGGACATCTCCTCCTCTGCCCCTGTGCATTCTGGGAGAGGATGTGGCAGTTGTGGAGGTCTACAAGTACCTGGGAGTGCACTTAGACAATGGGCTGAACTGGAGGATCAACACTGACGCTGTGTACAAGAAGGGGATGAGCCGACTCTATTTTCTGAGGAAGCTGAGATCCTTCCACGTATGCAGCAAGATGCTGGAGATCTTCTATCAGTCTGTTGTGGCTAGTGCACTCTTCTTTGCTGCGGTCTGCTGGGGGGGGCAGCATCAGAGCCGGTGACACCAGCAGGATCAATAAACTGATCAGGAAAGCTGGGTCAGTCATCGGCATCAAGCTGGACCCCTTTGAAGCTGTGGTGGAGAGGAGGACACTGAACAGGCTGTTGTCCATCATGGATAACCCCACCCATCCTCTCCACCTGCAGCTGGACAGTCAGCGGAGCTCCTTCTCCTACAGACTGCTGCAGCTCCACTGCCATAACTCTGTACAACAAATCACCTCTGGCTGGAAGAGAACTCTCTGCTCCATAGTTTCTCTTGAATATAACCACGTTGTACATTTTACACATATATAATCTGTTCAATATTTAATACTCCATAATTCCATATATTTTGAATATATATATATTTGTATATATATATATAATATCTGCATGTATATTTTCTATTTCGACATGTATATTTTATATTTTATATTTTATTTTATTTTATTTCTATTCTTGTATATTTTGTTTTATTGTAAAATGCCTTTTATGCTGCTGTAACAAAAACAATTTCCCAATTTGGGATCAATAAAGTACGATCTATCTATCTATCTATCTATTTTCGATCTTTCCAATCCAGACGAGAGATTTCTCTCTCTCCCCTCTGTGTGTGAGGGGGCGGGGCAGTTTACACACATGCGGCTGCTACATGCATGCAACACACACACACCCAGCTACATGCATGCAACACACACACACGGCGGAGATGGCAGAGAGAACTAAGCGCTCCGAGGTGTGGTTAAACTTTAGTGCAATAAGAGTTTAGCATGTAAGGGCGGTAACACGAACAATTTGTCTAAACAACACATTATGTCCCGTAATGTTCCACCACAACCTCAATCTTCCTCCAGAAGAACCGTTAGGCCTTTTGCAGCATACCTGTATGCCCCACCTGTGTTGCTCTGTATTTTTGCAGTAAATACTTGTTTTTTATTTGTATTTTACAGTTCTGTAAGTTCACATTATTTACAATTTGTTTAGTTAAGGCGAGACACGGCAGGCAAAAACATCGTTTTTCCTGCACTGGTCAATTTTGAGATTTTGTGCTATTTTGATTCCATAACATGTTTTCTTTTAGGCTTTTGGAAGGAAAACGTACAAAATACACATTTAAGTGTTTATTTTACTATAGTTTGTCTATTTGCGTCTGTAGATTTCTCCTACATTCACCAAAAGTTAGCATTCTAACGTAACATAAAGTACCGCGACCGCTGTTTGCACCATGTCATCAGAGGTATCGTTGGAAAGCTCCGTTTCTCCTGCACAATCTCATCAGATCCAAATATGGTCATTTCCTTTGTATCAGCAACCAATCGTGAAAGTACAAAGAGGTCTTAAACCAAGAAACAAAATCTCATTGGCTGGTGTCAATTTCTGACAACGTGATTCGTTCAGATGCGTCACGTGGTGTGCTAAAGCACTTCCTGGTTAGCTTTCCGCTCGAAATTTAAATCTGAAAATGGCAAAATAACAGAGAAAAAAACGTTCACAGAGAAGACGACAACAATTGTCACTTGCACAAAGCAAGGTTATACAAAAAACAAATGACCCCGAACATGAAATACCTTCACGGAGTGCGTCGATGCGCAAGCTATCATCCAGATAACAGGAGGGTTTAGCTAGCGTCACACTGCAATCTTTAAAGGTCGTTTTCTCAAAATGAGTTTTTTCTCCTAAGGGTTTGGTCATATATAATTCATAGCCTGAATTATATAACATTTTATACCTCAAAACATGGTGAAAATTGATATTTTAGGGCTGTTGACAGTATTTTCTGATTTATGGAGTGATACAAAGAGATATCCAAAATCCCTTCTGTAAAAGCCTTAGATACTAATATGACTACAAAATGAAACAATAATTTTGATCCTGGCTTTATCCAAAGTTCAGATTTCGGTTCCTGAAATGTGTTAAAATATGCGCATATTTCATGAGATAATGGTTCATTTGGATATTTAAACATGCTATTTCAGAAAACTTGTAATACAAAAAACAATTGCCTTATTGTAAGTAATTAACTGGAGAAATGTTTAGCTGATATCTTTAAGTTAAAAAAATTACCCTATTCACCTGGGGTGTCTCGCCTTAATTTGCAATTTTTGTTTTCAATAGAACCGATAAGAGTACCGTTAAAGGACCGTATCGATAAGCGGTGTCGATAAAAGTAGTAGTACTGTTAAAACCTTAACGATACCCATCCCTAATTAGGATGAAGTAATGTTGAGCTACACATATTAAACCTGAACATTTTATTGGATTATAAACTGATTTTTATCCTCATTATGTTTTCTTTATTCAGACTGAAGAGCTGCAGTTTGTCAGAGATCAGCTGTTCTGGTCTGGCCTCAGCTCTGAAGTCCAACCCCTCCCATCTGAGAGAGCTGAACCTGAGTCACAACAAGCTGCAGGATTCAGGAGTGGAGCTGCTGAGAGATCTTCTGGAGAATCCAGACTGCAGACTGGAGACTCTCAGGTCAGTTCTCCATCTTTTACTTCTGTGCTGAGATTAAGAGAGTTGTGTTGACTCTGAGCTGCAGACAAGAGGCTGATATCACTCACTGAGCCTCTTAATGCTAAAGTCTACTTTCTTCTTCTGTGGTTTGGTTCACTGACTGTGGAACAGCCATGTTGATCTTTAAACTTAAATATAACAAAAACAACCTTCACTGCATAATTCCCTCTAAAGTTTAGAGTCTAAACCTTTAAACTCCTGAAATACATATTATTTTCTCCATAATGATTTTAACAAATGATTTGAAATACAATAATTAAACATGTTTATTAAAACTATAAAACACTAACACGTATTTTCAGTTGTTGCTGTTTCCAACATGTTTCTTAGGCTACATGATGCTTTACTGAGTGAATAGTTTACACTGAAGAAGCTGTGATTTGATGAATCCACTATTCCTAAAATAAATATTCTGGACGTTCTTTTCACATTTAAAATTCATCAGGTTATCCTCTTTGTAAACGTTGTGATCTTGAGCTGAATCAGTTTCTGAGAGTTTGTGTTTGTCTGGCTGCACATCATGAGTTAGTGTAGATGGAGCAGAGTTTCAGATGTGAAGTAGAAGCATGTTGTGTTTAATATTAATGAGAAGTCTGTGTACCTGCACTTAAATGGTCTTTCTATCTAAAACTATTCAATAAAAAAGTCACTGAAGCCTCTTTTTGTGTTTTACTAAAAGCTCATAGCTGATCATAGTAGCGAGGGGTGGGAGGGCAACTCTCAGAAGTCCTTTCAAAACAAAAGCCCTGGTCTGGTGAAAGACACTTGATGCTAGATACATGTGTTCAGGTATCTTTGTAATCAAACGAGAGGAAGTGAAGAGCTCATTGAGACAGTCCTTAATGTTACATTAGACTAGAAGAGGGATGAGGGCTTTCCTCTGAAGTGTCACTGAAGCCATGTCTGCTTCAGCTGATCAGCTGTCAGCTTTAACAGCTCTACACACTTTGGACAGTTTGCTGACATGTGCACTCTGCTCATACTAATATAATGCTCTCAGTTATCATGAAGCAGCAGCAGTGTGTTACCTATTTAACACACACCTGCTCACCATCAACCACTGCTTAGCAGCACAGGATGCATCTAACCTGGCAGAAAGAGTTCATCTTAGCCTACCTATTCATTACCTGCGTCTGTACTCAGGGATATTCTGATCGTGAATGTATGATTTATTAACCCAGAATAAGATTGTCTTTTGAACTCTGGAGATGGCTTATTAGGGTCTGAGAGCAGAGGTCAGTGAAGACCCTATTGACCCTGCCAAACACAACGGAAAAGAGTCCGAAATCATGACGGCAGAGAGCTCGCTACATTACTGATATCGATAGGATTATTATTATTATGATTCTTATTTTAATGCGCATATCAAAAGTGCAGAGAAAAACCAAAAAGCCTCTTGGAGGTGTATACAAAAACGTACAGGAAGTTGGCCATTTTAAATTTGGCATTGGAACATTTTTCCCACTGGAGTTTCCACTTTCTAAACTTCTTCAGCTCTGAACAGAGTTAAACCTGAAGTTATTTCAAACAGGAACATTGTTTTCTAAAGTTACATCATGTGTTCTTCATTCAGACTGGAGTGCTGCAGGTTGCCAGAGATCAGCTGTTCTGCTCTGGTCTCAGCTCTGAAGTCCAACCCCTCCCATCTGAGAGATCTGGACCTGAGTGAGAACGATCTGCAGGATTCAGGAGTGAAGCTGCTGAGAGATCTTCTGGAGAGTCCAGACTGCAGACTGGAGGCTCTCAGGTCAGTTCTCCATCTTTAATTTCTGTGCTGAGATTAATATGTGAGAGTTGTGTTGACTTTGTTGAGCTGCAGACATCAGGCTGATATTACTCTGATCCTCACTGAGCATCTTAATGCTAAAGTCTACTTTCTTCTTCTGTGGTTTAGTTCACTGACTGTGGAACAGCCATGTTGATCTTTACATTTAAATATAACAAACAAAAACCTTCACTGCATAATTTCCTCTGAACCTTTGACCTGTTAAGCCCCAAAGCCCCCTGTCGGCGGGTCTTTTTTTTTTTCTTTGGATGGAATGAATACCTATGGTGATAATTCAATGTAATACATCATTTTTATAGTCTGGTACCTGAAAAAGTTCAAATGGCACTGATGGAACCAGATGTACCCAAATGTGCCGAAAGCTTATTCCGCCTGGAACTTTTTTTGCTAAATTTCTCTAAAAAGGTCAAATTTAACTTGTTTTGCCTCAATCTTGATACAGGGTACTTATTATATGTTATAGTTTGGATTCCTAAAGCTTTTAGTCTACCATCCCATCATTCAAGGGTGGTTTTCACTATAAGTAATGTTTTTTCTTTAGGCGGAGGTAAGAATTTACCTTTTTTTACTATGTTCCATTTGAATGAACTCTGACTGAGAAACATCTATATTGATTCTGACACCTCTACATCCAACTCACAGATGTAACCTTGCTTTGATAAAAGAAATTATTCATATAACCCTTTTAGAAGTGAAGTTGTAGTCATTTGTTTTGGGCATGTCATTTTCGAGCCTGAAACCTGAAAAACAGGCTCGGGGCTTAACAGGTTAAACACCTGAAATACATCTTATTTTCTCCATAATGATTTTAACAAATGATTCTAAATACAACAATTAAATATGTTTATTAAAACTATCAAACACTACCAAGTATTTCCAGTTGTTGCTATTTCCAACATGTTTCTGAAGCTACATGATCAGGGTTCCCGCGGGGTCTTAAAAAGTCTTAAAAAGTCTTAAATTTGATAATCAGAATTTAAGGCCTTAAAAAGTATTAAATATGATCAAAAAAATAAGAAAGGTCTTAAATATGATTTAGAAGGTCTTAAAAATGATTGGATTTGAAAGGTACTTCTGTGTTGCGATCGCGTCTAAATGTGTTTTGGGGGAAATGTCCGGGCTGCAAAGTAACCAGTACGGTAAGAGCCTTTCAGTTCCCCCCCCAACAATCTGTATTGAAATAAATCAACATGTAACCAGTCATCACTAACTTTGTTTCCCCCGGCCCCTTATGGGAGAACACCCAGCTAGTAACCTAGCAACCAAGCTTCAGCTAGCGGCAGTCAGAAACTCAAGTATCTTCGAATCTACTTACAAATAAATATGGGGAAGTGTAAGTTCAACCGTATTTGGTTGGAAAACATCGAATTTAGTGCTTGGTTGAAACCAGTGGAGGGGAACGTGGTTGAAGCCCGCTGCACCTTTTGCAAAAGAATTGAGTGTTTGTTTTGCTAATGCAGCGTTAGCTAGTGCAGCGTTAGCTAGTGCAGCAGCTCCCGCAACAACATTGGGGGACCTTCAGGTGACGTTTGGGTCTACGTCAACCCTAAAAGCGGAGGTGCTGTGGACGCTAAATACTGTAGATAAACACCAATCATACAACAGCATGAAGGCAGCAGAGCTCTGAATATAGCTCTTGTCACTCACTCACTCACTCACACACACACACACACACACACACACACACACACACACACACACACACACACACACACACACACACACACACACACACACACACACACACACACACACACACACACACACACACACACACACACACTTTTTGTCTAACACGCTAACACAGTTCTGTACTGTTATGCTGTTATGTTCAGTCATTGTTCTTATGTTGAACATGAATACATTTACTTTGTAAGTAATTATGGACGTATTTCTTCTTTCATAGCAATTTTCCTTCATACTTCATAGGTCTTAAATTATATTCAAAGTGGTCTTAAAAAGGTCTTAAAAAGTCTTGCATTTTTGTTGGTGAAACCTGCAGGAACCCTGATGATCCTTTACTGACTGAATAGTTTACACTGAAGATGCTGTGATTTGATGACTCCACTGTTCCTAAAATACATATTCTGGATGTTTTTTCACATTTAAAATTCATCCTATTTGTGATCTTTATAAACGTTGTGATCTTGAGTTGAATCAGTTTCTGAGGGTTTGTGTTTGTCCGGCTGCACATCATGAGTTAGTGTAGATGGAGCAGAGTCTCACTCCTAGATTCCACCGGGTCCGTCTGCGCCGCGTTACGGCCGCGTTACGGCCGCGTTACGGCCGCGTTACGGCCGCGTTACGGCCGTGTTACAGCCGCGTCACGGCCGCATTATGGCTGCGCCGCGGCGTTCACAGCGATCACAGCCACTCTACGGCTAGAAGCGTCCCAGAAGCGTCCCAGAAGCGTCTCGGCGCTGGGCTCCCGGCTCCGCTAAAAATAGGATGCAAGTCTATTTTCGACGCGACGCGAGGCGTTGCATAGAGCCGGGCAGGAAGTGGACCGGTCAGAGCATCCATTCAATCCCCAAAATAAACGAATTTTGCAGACCCTATCCCTCCGTATTCTTTCAAGTAGGAGGAGAAATACCAGCGTTCTCCTCCGGTTTACAGGCACTGTGTAAATTATATATATAGAATAATTATGATGATGAATGCATTTTTTTACCACTAAAATACAGCAACACATCTTTGATTAATGTCGTTTATAACTGGACTATTACAATTATTACTAACTTTGTCTGTACAAAGTAGCCTGTCCAGGAAATATGCCCAAATCAACAAAAACTGTGAGCCAGCACACAAGACGCTCTGCTTCCGAAACGCTTCTGAAACGCGCCCGGTGGGTTATGACGCTGGAGGAGGTCGGACCAAAACCGCGGCGCAGCCGTGACGCAAAGCAGACGGACCCGGTGGAATCTAGGGGTTAGATGTGAAGTAGAAGCACGTTGTGTTTAATATTAATGAGAAGTCTGTGTACCTGCACTTTAATGGTCTTTCTCTCTAAAATTATTCAATAGAAATGTGACTAAAGGCTCTTTTTGTATTTTACTAAAAGCTCAAATGATCATAGTAGCGAGGGGCGGGGCGGGGGCAACTCTCAGAAGTCCTTTCAAAAGAAAAGTCCTGGGGCCTCATTTATAAACGGTGTGTACGCACAAAAGATGGCGTACGCCAGTTTCTACGCAATGTTTGCGATTTATAAAAAACAAACTTGACGGGAAAATGTGCGATCCTCCACGCACACTCTGACCCATGCATACGCACTAAGCACACAAACGGGAGGGACGAGAAACTGCGACACCGTTGGCAGAAGGAAGAATGGAGAGAAATATGTGGAAATAATACCATAATAAAATGTTACCTCTCATTTATCAAATATGAAGAATTCATTTTCAAACATTGATTAAAGCCAATCTTAAAATGATGAAACAAACGCCTGTTTGAGACTCCTCAGTGCACACAAAAACATAACTTGGAGAAATAAATAAATACGGATATGTTATTTAAAACCACCTCGAATATGTTGTGTTAATGTTATGAAATGTTTTCTCATAAATGATGCGGTAAGCAGGAGGACAGAATTACGTTTAAACTGACGCCGTTTTGCATTTCTATAGGTTGTATAGATACGAGCATGGTTTTATATACTATCACGTTTAATCGTGTTTTATGCCGTTCACCAATAGCCTACTTGATAAGTCGCTCTTAAAACACAGGAGGTATGGAAACTAAGAACACCATATGTGGTAAATTGTACAGCTAATATAACACAACACATTAGTTGTATTTCCTTTAACTGGTGGATTATGGATATATAGTTGCTGATCGACAGCTGGAACACAAACCACCAAATACAACACAATAATTCAGATCCAGTCGTCATGACTCCACTCCGGAGGGATTCCCCGATCATTTCTTACAGTTTCTCATCAAGGGGGTGTCTCCTGTCCCCGGGACAAACACACTGCCTGAGGAAGGTTATGTGTATTTTTTTGTCATTAACCTTTTTCGGACCACTTGTTTATTTATTTTGGTGACGATCCGACCTCCATGCTGCTACTCTGGTTCAAACTGCATTCACCAAACAATATGATTTATCTCAACCTCCCCAAAATAACCAAAATCTGACACGGTGTGAGATGTCTTTTTTAGCTGTTCTGTCGTCATTTCCTGCGATCTTCTTCATGCAGTCAGTCAAAATGAATGAATGAATGGGCGTTTCTTTGACTATTTATAGGCAAATATGGGAGTTACGTGAAGCCCGCAAAAGCTGCGCCGCATTTCGAGTTGATTGTGATTTATAAAGGGAAACAGGCGTAGGATGTGCCGTACGCAGTCTTTTATGAATCGGAAAGTGTCTGTGCGTATTTATTTGCTTTGTCCTACATAAGCAACCTTCCCACGTCAATCCTACGCTAGGCTTTATAAATGAGGCCCCTGGTCTGGTGAAAGACACTTGATGCTAGATAAATGTGTTCAGGTATCTTTGTAATCATCGTTGAGACAGTCCTTAATATTACATTAGACTAGAAGAGGGATGAGGGCTTTCCTCTGAAGCGTCACTGAAGCCATGTCTGCTACAGCTGATCAGCTGTCAGCTTTAACAGCTCTACACACTTTGGATAGTTTGCTCACATGTGCACTCTGCTCATACTAATATAATGCTCTCAGTTGTCATGAAGCAGCAGCAGGGTGTTACCTATTTAACACACACCTGCTCACCATCAACCACCAGCAGCACAGGATGCATCTAAACTGGCAGAAAGAGTTCATCTTAGCCTACCTATTCATTACCTGCGTCTGTACTCAGGGATATTCTGAACGTGAATGTATGATTTATTAACCCAGAATAAGATTGTCTTTTGAACTCTGGAGATGGCTTATTAGGGTCTGAGAGCAGAGGTCGGCGAAGACCCTATTGACCCTGCCAAACACACACAAAAAGGGTCCAATCT